TCAAGGACATTCACTCTTTTCTTGTCAGACACACTACAGTGTGGCTCTGGCCTTGTGCTTCAGGTCATTGTCCTCCTGAAATGTATATTTTTGACCCAGTTTTAAATTATTGGGTGACCCAAGCAGGTGCTCCTCTAGGACTCACGAGCACCATTCATTATTCCCTCAGTCCTGACAAGCTTCCCCGTCGTTGTTGATGAGACACATCCTCATAACATGATGCGGCCACCACACTGTTTTACAGCTGAGGAAGTGCTGACAGGGTGATGTGCTGTTTTAGGCTTGGACTTTGCATTTAGATCAGAAAGCATTCTGCCACCTGCCTGCAGTACAGTATATCTGAGATTTAAGATGAGTCTTTTTCATTAAAGTCTTCTTTCTCGCCACTCACCCATACAAGTCAACATTGAGTATGGATGAGGATATGGCCAATGTTTGAACAGTGGTTCCCATCTTAAAACTTTGCAGATTTTTCAAAATATCTGTTGGCGTCACAGTTGGATCTCTATCTGGTTTCCTACTTGTTTTACTGTTTATTTTGGAAGGTCAGTCCAATCCTGGAAGTGTCTGAGTCTAACGATGTACGTTCAGCTTCTTAATGATTGACTTCACAGTGGTCAAAGGGATAAGTAACCCTCTAGATATATGCCCATCTATCATTTCATCTCAAACTTGCTTCCAAACCCTCTTGGTCTACATGGTAGATTTATTGTATCACTAAGTGAACTGTAGCTTCAAATTCAAAATCTATGAAGTTGGAACCTATTAAGGTAGATCTGTCTAAAGTTCAGTTAAATCAATCTGATACCACAATGTCACACAACTTAACATTAATGTTGTGCCCTTCCAAACTCTTTCACACATGAACTGATTACAGTTGCTGTAACACAGGGCTTGACTACTTACAAAATTGAGAAACTTCTTCTTTTCTTTTACAAATCCAATGTCAGCATTTTTTAGCTTTATATGTTTGGGACAGATTATGCAGACTAAATATAAAGTGCTATTCAAATGTGTCATGATTACAAGCTCAGTTAGCAACAAAATGTGAAAACTTTGTAGGGGGGTGAATACTTTTTAAGACAATGTAAATACCTCACTTTATTTCACACGTCTATTTTTTTTTTATGTGCAAATGTGGAACCAGGGATGTCAGGTGTGGTTTCTTTTCTGTTTCTAGAGATGATGCATTCCTTCTTTCCTTCAATAGTGTGATCCTGTCACTCTGCCTTGTCACTTTCCACTGTTGTCTAAAAAGACAAAGAAACGCCAGGAATATTCTTGCATTTATAGGTCCAATGCTATAATGCAGTCGACCACTGTTGTTAAGAAATCTAGACCTTCGATGTTTTGTTTTGTTTTCTTCATTTCACTGTCACTTTTTATTAGTAATCCCTTCAATGTGGAAACAAATTCTGACTGGAATAACAACAATTGTCATCTTGCAAGATAGTGTTCAGCAGTTTTTTTTTTTCCTGAAAGAGGGGATATGAAAGAAATGTTATTCTGCATGTCAAACTTGATTCCTTATTGTGAAAATTAGGTAGCTGTGCAACATGGAATGAAAGTAAAGCTCTTGAAGTCTTGCAGTGGTTTGAAGTTTGATCTTGTATTTTATTTTGCTGTGGGCCATCACCAGTGCAAACACAGACTTGAAATCTTAAAGAAGACAGCAAAAAACAGCTGACTGAAGACAAACTTAGTTGATTTTAAATTCACAAGTCAAAAAGCCTAGAGACGAGCTTTAACAATTCACTCTTCCAAGAGTTCTTGAATATAGGTATATGTTATTTTCCAAAACTAGACAAAATAAATCTAAATTTCTCTTGCTAATGACAGGCTTTAATCCAAAATGTATTTTATTTGCTTGTAACAACTGATGATTGAACACATTGTAGAACTTCTGTATATAATTATTTAGTATTGCATACAATATGCATTTGTAGGATTTGTTTCTGGAAATGTACTGGAGGTAACAAGACAGAATCCTTCACATTTTATCACTGTCCAAAACCTTATACTATTGCTCCAATGATTGGAAAAACCAGAAGAACATCATGTTAGAAAACAACAGAAGCCCATTGGCACATCAAAGTCATTCAGTTGCAAATAGCTACAGTAGTTAATCTGAAAATCCCATTCAGCCTTTTCTGAAACACACTATGGCAATATATATATACTAAATAATAATAATACTAAATATAATAATATACTAAATGGGCTAGATGTGTCCAAAGGCCTGTTCTTCTTTGTGACCTTTCAATTCTAAACACACTTACCATTTTTCCAAATATCATTTTATTTGCTTCTGCTTATTGCCTAGAAGAGGAAAGTGATATCAACATGATCACCTACGTCATTTTCATACGTGGCTTGATTAGTGGTTTTCCATCTTTCAACACTAGTAAAGCACACATTTTCTAATATCACCACTTCATTATTAAACCGCGTGTAAATTCAGGAGCAAAATTATAATCACAAATTATCTACTGCGATATACAGTAATTCAACTCTAGATTCTTGCAAAATGTGTATGTAGGCACGTGGAAATACCAGTAGTTTGTTTCTTATCGATTGCACTTGGAAATTGAGATACAGTAAAAAAAAAACATAATTCTGTATTACAGAGCGCTAATGACAATCATAAACAATCAACGTGGCGAGTAAATGAGGTTTTACCCAGTCCGTAATCAAAGCAGGTTTGTGTGAAGACCGCATCAAGGTACTGTAGCACCATAAGACAGCAAACTCATCCGAAGTACGTATACTTTCCTAGTTTCTTTCCTAGTTAAATGAGTTTTAATAAGTATCAATAGAAATATGTGTAAGTGAAAATATGAGTGTAATCGGGCACATGAAGTCATTTATTATTTCTGACAGTTTTCTGGAGCCGAATCTTTGCCAGGCGAGCAGCTTGCATTCTGCCATAGCTACAGGCACAGGGTCATTGGAATGTGATGCTAATCAGGGCATTAACGCATTTCAGGTGTGTCTCAAAAATATTAAGTGAAACATTCACACAGCTATATGCATGCGAATTGTTTGTCCTTTGGATGGAACTTACGCTCTTTAAAATAAAAAAGCAAGCCCGGTGTACCGTTTCTCTGTCGCATTTATTTCTATAGATACTGTTGCCTGTGCAGTAAAGGTGTTACTCCATAAATGAGAAAAGAACACGAACTATAATAATAACAACACCTCAAGGTACTTTACGATAACAGCATGAAACAATAATGATAATAATTTTCCTTTTTCATTAAGACGCCACAGTTTTCTGTAAAAATACCATGCCCAAGTTGCTGGCTATGCCCAATGCTTTTTGACACATCGTATATTTAGCTACACATGCATGCCTAGATCCACGTGCGGCCTCGGGGGGCGGAGACTTGGTTTAGTACGTCACCGGAGGGTCAAAGTGATCACATGCAACAGGCATGGTGTTTGTAATTAAAGGGAATGGAGTCATCAAGGCTGGCTGATATTTTTGATGTCTTAGGCGCAGAAAGTGTTCACACAACTGACGATAGTAACCTTAAAGGCGATCACCACCTAAACAACCCTTTCATAAGAGTTGTGTTTTGTAAAGTTTGTAACCCCGGACTTTCAGTTTAAAGGACTGGCCCCGGCGTTTTGATCAGCTGCCAGAGTCAATCAGATTTCAGACCAACATAATCCAGTGACAAAAAGTTCAACGTATCAGGTTTTTTAAAAGCACGAACCTGATTCCTTGTGTTTAATGAAGAACATTTAAGAAAAAGTATTGAGTTACCCGACAAAATATATAAAAAAATAGAATCAGGCAGCTTCCAGTATGTCAGTGTTTGTTTCCTGCACAAGAAAATGATTTTTTATTAATAACCTCTTTAAAAATACTGAAAGCGTTAGAATTAATTAAAAGATCATATTCTGCAAAAGCAAACAATGACTTGTGATAAAGAAAAACAAAAAGTTGTTGTTTTTTATACATCACATACTCTTGCCTGCGATGTTACAGAAATACCCACTTAACCACATTTTGTTTAAATAATATTGGATCGTATTTCCTGTGCGCTCTTCAGTGGACATAAGCTAAACAGCTGTCGCTCGAGATTTTCAATAATCCGTCACCTAGTGTGCACATTTCCACAGTTTACAGTTTAAATCTAGAGTGAAATATCTAGTCTTCAGAAGAGTTCGAAAATAGGAAGTACTCTAATTAACCCAGCGGACCCAGTACAAGTTATGCGTTTTGTGCGTGTTTTCTACACTGTTCTTACTAGGCACTTTATCTTACATAGCCTACGGATTTTTGTAATTATTTAGGCCTAATAAATTGTAAATAATTTTTGTGTTTTGCAACAAGAAAGAAGGCATCGGTGCTCTGTAGGTTTTAAGATGATGTACAGTATGGGCATTCATTTAGAAAGAGTGCTTAATTGAATTTGAGCTCCATTCATTGCGTTAAATACTGTATGTTATCTTTCTGATTAGCATGGTTTACAAAACATACAGGTCGGTTGAACATCTAAGTACTGCGGCAGTTCTTTTTTTTTTTTTCTCCAGGACTGTTAATTGTAATCTTTAACGTTTGTGCATTCAATGAATTCAAATTCTGCCGTTGGTTTGAAGACACTGTTAATTACAATAAAATATCACAGCGACCAGAAATAAAAACAAAGAAACTCCTACTGCAGGTAACAAAAACAACAAGGGCAAATATTATTCTGTGAAGTTTGCTCCATCACGTAATAATACATTCTTTTTGTTGTTATTATTTCTGTTCGTCTTTTTATTCCGTGGAAATATATTCCTGGAACGTCATTTATAACTTGGGAGCGTTTTTTTTTTTTTGGAAGCCTTGATTTATGCATTTCTGTAATACAGTACCTCTGGGCAGAGCAAGGCACATGCTAAAAAGCCTTCCCCATCTATTCTCTCTGCTATTGACAGATTTTCCCTGGCCAGCTCCGTGGGTAATTTCACAGACAGTGCTCTTTCTCTCTAGCGCTGCCAGTGGACAGTCGCACACACACACCCACCTCTACCGAGACCCGCACATTCACATTTCATAGTTCTACTGTAAAATAGATAGAGGGAGTCTCAGAGCTCGCCATTCATAGACCATCCACGGCGAAATCACCATAATTAAAAATAATAATCCTAATAAAATATTAAACATGGAGTCCGCTCCAGATCCAGCCAGCGACCCGGGCAACAGCTCCTCGGAGCCGGCTACCCCGGTAAGGGACACCCCGGTAAACCTGGAGACTCTCCGAAAAGCTGACCATCAAGCCCCTGTTCGGAGGCAGAGCTGCTCCAGTACCAACAGAGGTAAGCTGCTAATGTTTATAGACATCTGTGTAATATTAGAGGCACTGGAAAATAAATATCAGAGGCAACTTTGAAAAGGCAGACTGCTCCCGGTGTGTGTATGTGTGTGTGTGTGTTTTTAAGGGATCACGAAACCTTTTTTTTAAACGATTATTGTGTATATGTGAGGTGTCGCTGAAAACACCCGTGAAGCCGTTTTTCAGCAAATAAAAGTTTTTACAGCTGTAAATCTGTTTTTAATTCTGCAACTTAGCAAGTGCTACTGTATCAGCGCGTTCGGCAGCCCTCTGACGGCACCAGCCATAACTGGTGTTGAAGTAAGGAGAGCCGAGCGTGTAAAGAAGACACAAAACAGACATTTTTTCCCCAGGAATTACGGAAAATTAAATAAATTAGCCCGTGACCGGGAGGAAGCACAGGGCACTGTAAAGTGATAGTCTCTTTACTGGATATTGTTATTTGGGAGGGCCGCCGACATTTGTCAAAAATATGAAATCCAAGGTAGTCTGTGCGAACTTTGGAAAAGTATGACAGGTGTTTCACGTCTCTTGAAAGTAACTTCTGTGTGAATTGATGTTTAAAGGCAGGCGATTTTGTTTTAACTGCGCTGTTCAATTACTAAGCAGGCGCATATTTCAAGAACCACAAAATATTTGTTACACCGGCGCAAATTTTGTCAAAGTGCTCACACGTTGCATTTGCAAGACAGGATCCGGGGAGTACGCACATGACAGCAGCGTAACAGCGGGCAGATGGCTTTTATTACAATAATTTCCTCGGGTGTAGGAGTCTGATTTTTTTTATTAATGTCTGTTTCTTGCATTTTGAGCAGAAATATGGCTGGCTGTTTTACAGTACAGACAGTACGTACTGTAGCCACACCCACCAGACAGCCTCCATTCACGTAATGCAAGTGAAGTTGGGGGGAAAAAAATGATTATATACTAAAGAAACTTGTTACAATAAAGTAGCGAGCGATGCCAGTGTTCACCCGATCCGCTGTGCATTTAAAATTTCATTCTGTGCATTAACACGGGCGGTCGTCTTCCATCGCATTTCCTCCAGCGAAACGTACAGTATATTTAGAGTCTGATACGTTGAATGTGGAATGTAAGCTGGTTATGTAACAGGTTTAGCCATAAACAGGGGAGGGAGAGAGCAGGGAAAATCACTGCAATTCTTGTACGCTTTGCATAGACGGCCGCTGAAAGTCATATCCTCAGATACAAACAAAAATGTAACTTTCTGCAATGTGCAAATCCGGTTGCATTTTAGGGGATAGAAGCGTGCAAGACTTGTGTTGATCCGTTGCTATAGAAAGAAAACATTGTTTCACTTGGTAACTTGGTAGTTTGGAGAAATCCCTGGGTTATGTAATACCGGGCAAAGGCAGGTACAAAGGCATTTCGCTGTTTGAAAATTTTAAGGTTGATCTCACGGCGTTTGTATTGAATTCTGGCTCTGACACTCCTGACCCGGTGACCCATATTTTCACCCTTTCTGTATAGGATTTAAGCGCAATGAAAAAAAAAGGCTAGGGATATGAACGCCTTCACATTGTTATGTAACTCGTTATTTAGTGGGAAAAACAGCAGTAGGAGAGACCGGGGCAGACGGTTAACTTTTGCCGAGGTTATGAGTTTGGTAAAACATTGACGCATCCATTCAAACGTGGCCTTCCTCCTTACAACAAAGCAGGATAAAATATCCTCTTTTATTGTTTTTTAAATTTCTGTATTGAAAGTGCTCTTTATTAGAATGAGCTCGTTCCCAATCTTTGGTCAATCCAGAATTGTTTGTTTTTTGATTAAAATATCTCAAAAGTTCAAGAAAAAACAACATCAAAAACATCTGTAAGTGAATACCAACAAAAAGCATTATTTTTTAGGTATTTTTAATTTTCAACAGTTTTAATATAAAAATTGTACTATTTCTGTCATTTGAAGGTGGGTTATACAGTATTTACAGGGATGCCGGGAGAGGGGTGTATTTAAAAGAACTGCATATTCTTTCCCGAAAAGTAAAGGGCATTTTTGATGTTTTTGGTGGCATCAAGATTAATGAAAAATATCCATTACTGAGTTTCGAGCATGTGGTGCACCAAGTCAAGTAGAAAAAATGCTACCTCAAATATTTCTCTGTAAAAATTTCCTACCATGTGAGAAATTAAATGTGCAAAGTTAAACTTACCTAAAAGCTGTACAAAAACAACAAACGTGACTTAAACTAAAGAATTAGAATCGACTTTGGAATGCAAATGAAGAACCGTTAAATTTTAAATTACCACTAACTAAAATGTATAGTGAATATTGCAGTAAAAAGGTCAAAATTTGTTTTTGTACTTTTGACTAATTACATACATTATTCATTTTTGTTTCTATATTTCTGGAACTCACAATTCTAAGAAACAGTATTTTTTGCTTTCAGAGACTTGCGAAGTCGCACTTGCTTTCCAAAAGTGCTGTTAAGTAATGTTTTATTCTTTGTTTACAAATGCATACAAGGAGCACAAATGATGTGGCAAAATGCATTTATTATCCATTTAAAAATAATAAATGTAGTGATAGTCTGGAATGTAGCTTTTTCCTAAAGGTATACCAGTACCAGTATAAAAAAGCAATTACATATTTTATACTATTGTTATTTCCATGAAAAGTTACTTATTAAACATTTTTTCTGATGTTTTTCTGCTTAATTGTGGTTGTAAATTCATGGAATGAATGTTGGCTTTATGTTTTTTTTTCTTCTTAACCCTAAGGTAATTTATAATGTACAATTGGTAATATGATAGTTGGTCTACGTACTGTATGACCGTTTAATTTTTTTCGGTGTGTTTATGTCCACACAAGATAAGTGGTTTTGAGGTGTGCTAAAAACATGTCTCTTTACCAGATTCTGACAGAAACAACATGCAAGAACTCATAACTGTTATTACTGTCAGCTGGTAATTACTTCAGAGGTCCTTTAAGAACAATGTGTTTATTTTCTTCAACACATTATTCAACAGACTGAACAGATTTCTTTTTTTCTTCACATAATGGATTTCTTGACCTGTACTCTTTTTCAAGGCTACCTCTCCAGTTCTTCTCTGTGGCCTTCAAAACCATTATGAAAGTCAGCCTAGGGTAATGCAGAAGTTATGAAGGATATTGTTTTAAAACAAGATTGAGATGTAAGCTATTAAAGTCATTGGCAAACAGTGGTAAAAGTTGAAAAGGCTACATATTTTAAAAATCTTTTGATATTGTAAAGGTTTGCTTTATGACCAAATTTATAAATTTGGTCGCTTCTTATACTGTATGTTAGGGGGTAAAATACTTCGGTAACAGATTCTGAATTGATCACAGTTTCAATTGTGAAAAATACTCTTAACATGTTTCTTCCCTTCTGCTAAAATTATTTTGTTTTTCAATGCGTGAGAAATTACTGGACTAGGTTTGCAAGGTGACATTGTTATACTTTTGAATAAGAAAACAATCTGTTTGCTGTTTGTTATGTGGTCATATTGATCTTTTTTAGAAATACAGTGACTCTGCTTAGGTAATAATATAAACAAAAAATAAAGGTTTATGATAAGCAGTGGTGTACATCACAAAGCAAAGGGAAAACACCTGAAAAGTCTTTTAAAATCAAAGCAATGAATGTAGCCAATATTTTCAACATTATAGAACACAACACATTAAATGTGTTTAATGGCAAATACTAAATGATATTGGCTTTTTACTGGGGAAAAACATCCTTTTTGTGTCATGAAATTCTGTTTAGGTATTTGTGAAAAAATACCTTCTGGAGCAGTTGCTTTGTAATCACATCCAACCATTTTGTTGAAGGAGTTAATTCAGGGGGTTGAAGGCGAGTTGTGCATTGTGACTTGGTGGTCTTGAAACATTAAAGTCGTAATGTTATTTAAAAATAAAGGGCTTACTTCAGCAAAATAAACTGCACAAGGGGAGCAAGGCTGGGAGAAGGCCCGACTGTGGAAGTCATTAACAAGGAGAAGAAAGGATATTATTTTCATATTGCAGTATCTCTTCGTTCATGAGAAGTAAGTTCTGAAACAATCAATATTAATGCTTGGGTTATGTAAGTAGATGCCCTCTGCGGGGACTGTGAAGAAGCCTTGCAATTACTAGCAAAGCAGTGGAGTTCCAGACTTGATGAGGGCCCTGGTGCCTCATTTATGCTAATTTTCATACCTGCATAACATCTTTCCAGTACAGCTTAGTACAGCAAGCCTTCACTGCTGAGGAGTCTAACTGTCCACCGCTCTGTTAGTATTTGCACATTCACAGCTATAATTTGATGGCATTTTTTAAAACAAAGCTCAAAGTCGTGTCCCCTGGGCACAGCACTGGGTGCTTTTCTTGTTCATCTTGTTATTTGTGTGTTCGGAGATAGACTTGTAGTAACTTGTAGTAACTTATACCGTATACCTCCTGACTTCACATAATTACTCTAGTGCACTGCAGTGCAGGAAGATTGAAGTACCGTGACAGTTGGCCAGTATGATGTTGAAGCGCAGTCATAATAACTATTTGTGAGGCATACATTGTGCTTTCATAGACAACAGATTTTTAAATTTAATATGACACAGTAGTGTAATTTCATAGGCTTTGCCAGCAGGGGGTTAACCCACAGTAGTGACAGCTATCCAGTTCTATTAAACCATTAACGGGGTGAGATGTTAACACACACCTGTCTGTCTGCCTGCCTGCTACCTAGCAACTGATCATTCATTGGAGTGAATGCATGGGTTTGCATGTGTGCCAGAATCATGCTGAAGTCTGGATTTCCTATTGTGCATTTTAACCTTCATGCCATATTTTTCCATATGAAGCAGCAAAACTGTTTTTTCAACACAGCAAAATTTGTAACTTATTATTGTTGGCAGGGTTTTGCTGTTCCTAAAAATCACAGTGCAGCCTGCCGTTATTGAGCACTTAAGTGGACTTTTACCACCACCAACTCTATTTATGAGGAGCTCTGTGGGTTTCAGACGC